TGTCATCTAGGATATATTAGCTAGGATATCATGAGTCCTGTTTTGTACCAGAACTTAGTTGTGTTCAAGTTATGAGCCCAAAAGAGTAGGTATAAGTCACATTTCAAGATTAAGAAAACGTTGAGGTCACCAATTTTTGCTGTAATTTTTTACATTGTACATTTCATCAAAATTTATAAGAAGGCAAATTTAATGTAATGCTGAGCTGATTGACAAAAATCTGACATAGGTAGGCGGGACTGTAGCTTTTCGGTTGCTGCGTGGATATTTTTGGGCAGTGATCACGCATTTAATTAGCAGGAATTTGTGGTGAGCGCCCCCTCTTGCAGGTGTGTTGGTGAGCGCGTGTGCTGAGGTGGGAACTTCTGGCAGCTCCTTTCTCCTTTCTCGGCTGAGCTTCTGCTTCTGCTTCTACTTCTGCTTCTGCTTCTGTATCTTTTCGGGCCTCGCTTGCTATTCCGCTCGCCTCCGCACACAGGTTCCCGCCAGAGGATGATGATTCCGCCGCCGATGAAGAGGAGCCTCATGATGATGACCGCGATGCTGATCATGATCATCGGATGCAACGGGTCTTCGACTCGGTCTCTGCCCATTTAGTGTGCAATCGTTTGTCCCCACGTCCAGTCCAGTCCACTCGGATTCTGGGCTCTCTCTCATCGGATCACTTCCAGTCCCGATCCGTTCCACCTCAACACCTCAACACCTCAACACCTTCATCATCACCTTCGCCGGCTAATTTGACCGTTTGAAAACCGTTTGATCCACCTCTGCGACTCGAACTAATTCGCGCATGTAACGATCATGATCATGATCTGGTCGAGTGAAGAGTTCAAAGCCTTGACATTGATCCGATCGATCTGAGTGTGTGAATGAAAGTCCATATCCATTGATGAGATCCGAGAACCTGGATAACATGCCAAGCACCATCAGAGGTTAGTTCATATAAGGGGTACTATTGTTTTATAATTATAATTTATAGCTTTAGCCATGCTATTTTTTAGAAATACATAATTTCTTAAATAACCACTTTATATATATATTTTATGGGCACATACCATCATAATACATTTACATATCTAAGAAGACCTGGTGGTTTATTATTTTGAACATACACAACGAATGCTTAAGATCTTCTGTTTCTTATGTTTAATGTCATTTAATTCAATGCGATTCATTAAAACTTGAAGCCAAATAAGCAAAACCAAAATAAAGGTATGCTTATTAATACAGTTTTAATCCTACGATTTATATACGTATAAATAAATCATTAAAATGCTCCATTAAGTTAAATAAGAACGGGGGTCTCATTTTAATGATTATATTAATTATCGCTCTTTTGTATGTATGCCTTAATTCCTATAGTGATTTATTTTCGCCCATTCGGAATAAAGATTTTCTCTGTCCAATATATTTGAAACTTTAGCTTATTTTGTTACGTCTATCGAAGGTCTTTTAATTTTTGTAAAGCTAAAGCAATCAAAATAGTTCGGGTGATATTACGGCGCAGAAATCAGCCTTGCCTGGCTATAACCGACTAATGGAATCATTAAACTGACTGAAAAGAAAAACCTAATTGATTATAAAAGGCAACGGCTTTCAATAGCCGCAAACAAATGGATGGGATATGCAGTCAAGCTGCAAGACATGCAATGCCTTGCTGCTGGGTTTCCGATTCTAGCCAAAAGATTTTACCACATCTTCAAGGCAGCGCCAAGAACAACAGTAATGGCCAACTGTTGCCTCATCGACAGTGGGGCTGCAATAAACCAGTTGGAAGTCGCAGCTAATCTTGCAACACAGTTGCGCAACAAAGAATCCGAGGCAACGGTACTAACGTGTTTGCTGTTTGCTGTTTCTGCCTCTGCTGCTGCTGCTGCTGCTGTTGCTGCTGTTGCTGTTGCTGCTGCTATTGTGGCTATATGCTCGGTTCGGCTTCTTTTCTTTTCTTTGCTGTTCTCTGCTGTTCTTTGCTGTTCGTTATTTTCTTGGCAATCAACTCTGAGCCAGTTGCGTGTAACAGGTTTTTCCTCTTGAATAACTGGGACTTTCTTACGGGACTTTTTTCGGAGAGTTTCTGCAGAAAACAGGTTAGAATCGGCACAGACTTGCAATAGATGAGGCAACACCGCCACAAGAAGTTTACAACGGTGAGGCACACATTTTCACGTTAGAACCAACGGTGTTTTAGCCAAGTTTAGCTGCAAGTCGCTGGCAGAACCAGTTAGCTCTTGATTGTTGTTGCGCAAGCGGCAGCTGAAAGCAGCGCAAAATAAATCTAACATGATTCAAGCAACGGAAAAACATGAAATATTAATGCCGATGCTTGACTCTTGGCTCCGACCACGAATCCGCATCCGAATCCACCGTAACGGTGGTCTCTTGGTTCGCCTTCATCGGCCCTAAAACCAAGCCACCTCCCCTCCCCCCACTAATGATGGCTCCGCTCCGATCCGATCCGATCCGAACCTAACCGATCTGATCTGTTAGGCGGGTGCCCAGTTAGGCGATTAGTCCAAATTCGCGCTGACGGTTGGGCAATGCCCGACAGTTGTTCTCCCTTTTTTTGAGCAATCACTTGGGGGTCATTGTGGTCATAGCTGTTCTTCGATTTATTTTTACCGAGTTTCGGCTACTTTTTTGGCCATAGCAATGCTTAATTACAGAACTTGGAACTGAATAAATTCTGCCTTTAGGCTTTTAGTTTTTACTTACCATTGCTACATACTTATTTAAAAATATATTTTGAACTCTTATTTTAATAAAATAAATCGATTCATATTTTATTTAGTTGGCATTAAGTAAAAACGTTTATGCAAGCGCCTATGCTGTACACGCTGTAAATTTATTTAAATGAATGTTATATCTGTGTACTGTAAAAAGAAGCTAAATATATAATTATTTTTGAAAAGTTTTTTTTTAACACGTTAAACTAAAAAATGTATCTTCACAAGGGAAGTTTAGATATTAATTTTTCCTTGTGAAGATAGATGTTGTATTTTAGCATGTTAAAAAATTTAAAAACAAATATTAAATCGTTTAAATAAAAAAAGTAAAGTAATAAAAGGTAAAAAACTTTTAAGAAAAAGTTTTAAAAAATACATGATAGAAAAGAAAAAGTTTTAAAAAATACATGATAATTAAACGTTGTATTATTATAACCAACGAAAAACATGACCTCGTATTCAAGCAAAAACTTTGATTAATCTTCTAATTGTGTTTAAAAAATGTTCAAAATCTGCCGCCCTTAATATTTTCACCTCAGGCGTGCAGAAATTTCCCGTGACTGTTTTCCACCACGACGGGAATTTCCCTGGCAGTGAACCAAGCCCCCTCCCCACGCAGAGGTTAAGGGTGGAAAAGCTGCGCAACAACGTTCGCCTGTGCTCGTTTTCCTTCGTGTTGTGGCTTCCAGTTTTTCCTGGCTATGCACTTGGCATTATGCCTACTAACCCTATTTTCGCAGCACTTCGCAGCGAGTCCCATTTTTCAACTTGCATGCGGATACACACACACGCACACACACACACACAGAGACACACACTCGGATTTTCCCAGAAACTGAGGCGCAACCCCCATGAAACAGAAAGTTTGTGCAGCGGCAGAACGAACTGTGTTTGTGGCACTCGAATTTGGGACACATTCCTGTAAAGGACGCAGCTCCGGTCAGCTGCTGTTCGACACCAAAAAGGAGCCAATAGAAAAACGCGCGCGGTGCAGTTAGCCCTTAGCTTCTGAAAGTGAAAATAAAATACACAGATACAGTGGCAAATGCGGTGACCCAAGCACAAGTGGAATAAACCAAATAGTGTACTAAAACAAGTATAGTATATACTTGGAAGTTCAAAAAATTATCCCTTGGCAAAATCGGAAAAGGGAAAGCTGCAGCAGTGCTCCTGTTTGGCAAATATTGATTGGCAAATGTGTTGCTGAAAAATCGATTATTAAAGCCACTTTCCACACACAGCTGGTGGTTGTTGTTGTTGCTGCTGCGAGGATGGAGGTGGTTTCAGGGGTGGCGGCGTTGGTTGCATAGGCGAGGGTTGCGTGCCGCAATGTGGGAAATCAACAGCAGCAACATTGGCACATCCAGAGGCACACTTCCAACTGTTTTGACGTGGTCGAGTTCCAATGGCGCTGGCTCCACCGAATGCTGCAGCGCAGCCTTGCAGCCATCCAGCGGCGACGCGTTGCATGTGCAGCAGCAACACCAACAGCAACAGCAGCAACAGCAGCAGCAGCATGAACAGCAACAGCAGCAACAACAGCAGCAACAACAGCAGCAGCAACAGCAGGATACGAAAACGAGGATGACAACGACCACAGGCAACCGCGGTGGACACAGATACAGAAACACAGGCACAGTCACAGTCACAGTCACCGATACACAGCAACAATTGCTGCACAATAGCCAGGCAATTGCAGCATATTGTGGCTGCTAAAAACCAAATAAAAAAGAGAAAACCAAAAGACAAACTCTAAAACCAATACAAATTGAAACCATTAAGTTATAACTCAAACCAAACCAAATGCAACGCACAAAGTTACGTTAAGTATACGACGCGTATTTCCAGCTGCAAAGCGAACCAAAACGAACCGAACGAAACCAAACCAAACGAAACGAAACGGAACGCACAGGTGCATCTGCACACCCCACTACGCCCCTGAAAAGAACCCCCCTTTCGTCGCTCAACCCCCTCAAACCCCTTCATTGGCCCAACCCCTGTGGGGTATCTACACCAATTGACAAGCAATCGAGGCAATGCAGAATGAATCAACTTGTTTTAGTCGACAACTTTTAAGTGCACTTTCGTAAGGCTGATTTTGAATTTATTTCGATGTTGTGCTTCTACACCCCCCAAAAACAAAAACAAAACGAAAAACAATCCAAAAACAACCCAAAAAAACCAACGAGCAACAAACGAGCAATGAACCAAGTGAAAGTGTGAGAGTGAGTGTTAGGTGTTTAGTGTTTAAAGCCAAAGCTAAAGAAGAATATTTCCAAGCACTTGTTTAGAAACGGCCGCCACAACGGATAGGCCCAGAGATCTCCTGCTGATACAGCAGGCCAAGTCCGCCGGCGGCAGCAAATCCTCGAGCGGCGGCGGACCCACATACATTGGTACCGATGCGGCCACGGCAGCGGCGGTGGCCAATTTGCGCAGCAAGGTGCCCTCCATCTCGATAATTCCACTGCCCGTCAACACCACCATTGTGGCGCGAAGTGGTGGTGCCGGTGGTGGTGCTACTACTACTACTGGTGGTGGTGGCTGTGCCCTGCCCCAGTTGATCCAGTCGTCGAGGAGTGTGTCCATGTCCAGCAAATCCACGGCCACATCGCCACCCCTGGCCTTCATCTCGGAGGGATCGGGAGCGCCTGCCCTGGCCCTATTGCCACGCCCCCAGCAGCAGCATCAGTACCAGCAGACCGACAAGTGCACAGTCCTCAAACTGGACGTCCTGAAGGCGCAACAGACCGGCAACAGCAGCAGCAACAGCAGCAGCAACAGCAACAGCAACAGCAACAGCACGCACCTGCAGATCGAACAGCAGCTGAGCGAACTGGAGGCCGCCGACGAGGAGGAGGAGAACATGGCCAGCCTGCTGGGCAGTGCTCCGCCCGCCCAGATCCTGGCCAATCAGCCGATCATCGTGAAGATCGAGCCCACGCAATCCTTTCACATTGTGGACGAGGGCGACACGCGGGTGCTGAGTCTGCCGCTCAGCGATGCCGACAAACTGGGTGCCAGTTGGATAGACCTCAAGGACATAGCCGGCCTGCAGACGGGCGGCGGAGCCACCTTGCTGGACGTTTGCTTTGAGCAGGCCAACGAGGAGGGCACCATCATAGCCACCGTCAAGTCGGACATGGAAAACGAACTCGAGGCTGAGCTGGCGGCGGAGGCGGAGGGCGAGCCGGATGATGAGACTGAGCCGGAGCTGGAGCCGGAGCCACCGGCAGCCAAGCGATTGGCCACCGGCATGCCAACGTTACAGTCGCGGTCACAACAGCAGCAGCAACAGCAACATCAGCAACAGCAACATCAGCAACAGCAGCAGGTGAAATTCCTGTCGGATCCTCCAGCTTTGGCCCGTTCCAGCAGCTTCAGCAGTCTCAGCAGCTTCAGCAGCATCAGCAATATCAGCTCAGTGTGCAAGAACATGACCAGCAACACCAGCCAGGAAGGCAACCTGAAGCGGTCCAAGGAGCGAACGCCACCGCCCATGCCGCCGTTGACCGCACATAAGCCAGCAGCAACATCAACAGCAACATCAACAGCAACATCAGCGACACCGGCAACAGCAACTGCAACAGCAACAGCAACGGCCAGCACATCAACAACATCGGCCAGGGAAAATAGTGGTCACCACGGCAGCAGCAGCGGCAATGGTGCCATGACAGGTACATTTTTATTGAAATGGAATTAAATTGAATACTAACGCCTATAAAAATTATAAATATAGTTATGATTTCAATTTAATCATTTTTCAAGGCTAATTATACAATTTGTTCCTGGTTTTAACTAAAAACTCAGGAAGAGTTCTCTTAACAATGAAGGTTTGAATAGATTGGGAATTCTATTTAAGTAATAATTATGTGTGCATTACATTTTATTGAAATGGGACCAAATTGGATTCTTTATAAACTAATCCATGTCGTTAACGCCTATAAAAATTATAAATATAGTTAAGATTTCATATTAAACATATTATACAATTTATTACACAATATATTCCTGGTTTTACTAAAAACTTAGGAAGAGTTCTCTTAAAAATTTGAATAGACTGGGAATTCTATTTACATAAGTAAATCATTTAACTAAGCATTTGACAAAAATTAACCTTAAAGATACGATTACTAACTAAATGAATGTGTATGTCTACCAAAATAATAATAGTTTAGACTAGCTTGTGGTATTAACTATCTGTTAGATCCAGCTAACTCACTAAGAGCGTTTGTTTTTTCATATTTTTTGGCTAAAATCACACGTTTAGGAATTGCCATTAACTGCCATGAGTGATTATGGCAAATATTTGAAAGATCTTAAGTCAAGGATTCCTCAAATGATGGGTTCACACCCCATAAAACTCAGCCAGCGACTGTATCGCAAAGAATTCCACTTGTTGCAACTGCATAAGAACAACAGTCGGCTAGCCACAGTGAGCACTCACCCAGAGCGACCACTGACGATCAACGATGGTTCAGATAATCGCACTCATATATTCCCCTAGCCAAACTCCCGACCCCCAAGAATCCGAGCTATGCAAATGAACGCTCGCCCATTGCACAAGCATCCCAGGCAGCGGCAATTAACAGGCTGACACATCAGCAACACATCAGCGACAGCAGCAACACCAAGACAGCAGCAACTGCAACAACAGGTGTACTGTGTACACACCCCATGCTAAAAAGAATTTCAATTTACAAGCCTCGATTTATTGGCTATTCACCTTTGTGTGGCTGTAGCAGCAGCAGCAGCAGCAACAACAATTTAGCTACGGGCATGTGTCCCACTTTCCATAGTCAACAACATACAGCAGCAACACCCCAACAGCAATAGCAACACCAACAGCAACAGCAACAAAAAACATGTTTTGACATACTAAATAAGCCGATGCTAGGCTGACTAGCTTTTGGCCAAGTCTAGATGGTGTTCTTTATCATTAGGTTCTGTTAGCTGTTTTTGCGATTCTCGCTGCCTCGGCATATTCGCTTTACTGCTGTTGCGGCACACCAGCAACACCAAGAGCAACAGCAACAGCAACAGCAGAAGCAGAAGCAACACCACCGCTGTTCTTCTTCTTGGCTCATATTTTTACCGTAGCACGAACCTTAGCGGTAAAATCGTCAACTACAAACTATACAGTTAACTGAATGAAGTCTCCAACGGAGTGAGCAGGACGGCCTGAGAGCGAAACTCAGGCCAAAGCGTAACTGGCTAGAACAGAATTAACGTTTATACACTGATAAAAAGCGAACCTTTGTTCAACAAAATTTTCTAAAATATTTCCATAAAATACCACACTGATCTCATATACTTTTAAAATAACTATGGTTTTAAAAACACACTGATAACTTTTAGAAGCAGCAAAATCGAATTGATAAGATCAAACTAAAAACATTGAAGAACAAAACAAAAGTTAAGAACAAAGGACTATATTTTCTTTTATTTTAGAGATCTCTTTTATACTTTTGGTTAAAGGGATTTGAGGATTTCAATATTATAAAAGTATTTAAAAGTACATTTAAAAATAAAATGATAAGATTTAAGATTTAATGTTTTTTAATTCTTTTGAGATTTTCAAAACAATGTTTTATAGATACATGTTCATTAGAGCAAAGCTAAGTACAAAGCTTTGGGAAAATTTCATGTTTAATGATCGAAAACAATTGTTAGGCAGCTTGACTTTTAGGAACATTAGTTATAGTTGTTAAGAAATTTAAAGTTTTTGTTTTCAGTGCATGCTGTCAAGCAAAGAACGGGATCAAGCCGAGGGGGCGGCTAAGCTGAAAAATTGATTTGGCAGCGCCTCGGGCCAGCGACTCGATTCTGCTCCCTCGGCTCGGTTCACTTGATGACTACAAATGAGTGTCAGGCACTGACACGACTTCTCATGCAGAAGCCCTACAGTCTCGGCCAAGATTGATCTATATTTTATAGTCTCTGTTGATTTCTGTGCGCTGGGGGCCACCGTATCCACATACACGGCTCATTAGCAGGCTGGGGCGGTGGCCAAAACGTCGGATTTTGTTGGCTCGTGATTGATGATCGAGGCGATGAATCGTTACCTAATTGCTGTACCCACTAGAACAAAAGATAAGCTATAGAGAATCGATCACAGATTTGTTTTGAGACAAACTGCTCTCCCAATTCCAGAAGCTAACTGATCGATCTCTTCTATGATATACATTCCTTTACAATTCCCAAATGTCTTGAGGCTATACAAACTGTTTCTGTAGCTGTGCGTCATAAAATTATAAAGTTTTTACAAATTCAATCACAATATACACTAAAAAAAAACACTTCTTATCAAGACAATAAAAAAGGTCCAAAATGAAACAGAAGCCAACTCAATATGAATAATTTTTTGTAATTTTAAAATGTTCCTAATGTGAAAACCAATTAGAGGGAATAAATATCTTTTAATATATAAAGGATTTTAAAAAAATTAAAACATTTATTTTTCATATCAAGGCAATTTGAAATTTATTGATTTGTACTTACCCGTCACGTGAAATTTTCAAAATGATTTAAACGAGTTTTGAAAATCCGTTCAGAGCCCTCTAACAGGGGAATGTATTCACAAGCGGATTTGACAATGATTAGCCCACATAATGGTAGTTGGCAAAAAAAATGTAAAACTAAAAACATAAAGGTTTTCTTCATCCGAACCTTTCTGCAGATGAGGCGACCCTGAACGTGGTCGATGGACTTTGCCAGTCCGCCGTTGTCGCCGTCGTCGAAGATGTCGCAATCTCGGGGATTACGAGATATATCTGCGCCATTGGGACTCGCACTATCACTTTTGCGAAGGGGTATGTGGCGGGGTTCATTTTTATTGTTGTAATTTCCTATATGAATCGGAGCCAGGTTCATTATAATTTGGTTGGACAACGCTTTGCATTTCATGCATGAATCTTCTGCTTATTGGCCGGTCGTCTGGGCCTGGATCCGTGGCTATTAGCCAGGTCAGCGCCGCATGAGATTTCGTCTCCAATCGAGCGTGGCGAAGTTTCATTATCATATTTTCGATTTTGCCAAACTTCATCGATATTGCTGGGTGATTTCGTAACCATCTCATCTCTTTCGCGTCTATTCAAAATGCGGTTTATGCTCCGCTCACATGAATCTTTGTATCTGCGAGATGCAGAGTTAATGGTTTTAGTATCTGGCGTCAACGAAAATACATAAATTAACTTTAGCAAAATATTAATTTATATCTTGAGCAAAGTTGAGTTGTTTCTTTTTCGTTTTCAACATTTACATGGAAATTTACTTTTTTATTTTGATTTTTTTTTGGTTTGCTTTTCATTTTGGCAAACTTCGAAAGCAAATTGCCAAATGACTTAAACTTATTTTAACATTTTTAATTGGCCAGCAAACTCCGTGTGCAGTTCACCTTGACTGTCTAGTGATTTTTTGCAAGCATAATGGCTTGAATATTTATAAAATTAATAAAAATAGATGCATAAAAACTCATCTATTTTGGTATTTAACCCAGTTAATTTTTCTGCATTTACCAGAACGAGACATATTTTATAACATTAACTAACTTGTGTAACTGGTGCGACGAACGATTTTTAAGACACCCAAATTTATATTTTAATGTAAAAAAACTTAACTTAACGATTTGGTAGAAGATTTTAATGACTTGAAGTTTCTGTTATATATTCTTTATCGGAATATGTGGCTTACCTACATTTTACATATTAATTTAAGAACTTCTTAAAAATTTAAGAACATCCATTATAGGACACCCTTTAGTAAATTCCCTGTTAAAGAAAGCTTGCCTACCTTATGGCGCACTTTGCAATTATTAGCTAGCTCATATGATAATATTCCAAAAATTATACGGTAATTATATTTGGTATAGTCACTAACAGGACTTGAATATCTTGAGTTTATCAACATTTACGTTTAAGCATTGTTGTTTAAGCATTAGAGCACATACATATATTAGTATTTTATAAAATTAGGGTATTACAAGCACTTCAATCATTGAACGCTTGTTGACAGGACTCGCGTAATTTAGGGCCAACTTCAACTTCCGCCCCGAAAAAGTATTTAAAAACAATTGGCCAAAAGATAAAAAGTGCAATTAAATAGCTGGCAATTCAACTGCAGTGCAAATATTTTGGCCTAAAAAGCAATTGACCTGCTAATTGAAGGCGCTTCCTTTAAAAAGCTCTCCCTCTCTTTTGAGTAAAGAGAAATTGTGGGGCTCAAAGAGAGAGAGAGAGAGAGAGCGAGCGCCTCCGCGATAACAGCTGATTATGCCCCACACTCTCTTTCGGGCGAGCGGTTGCCATAGCGAATGAACGGCCCAAAGCGGACGACGCAAAAGGGGAAGAGGTGGAGTGGAGGGGGGTTGGGGCAGCGAACTGAAGAAGAAGTCATCGGCACAGAGACACATATACCCACTTCTCTCTCTCGCTCTCCTCTGCGCTCCCACTCTCTTTGGGGGAGCGGGAGCTCAGCTGCCGCATTGCCGCCGCTGCGCTGCCGGCGTCGCTGCCGCCGCACGACGACAACGAACAGTCGATAACATTTTGCGGCACTTTTCAGCTACACCTCGAATTGAGCGTTTCGCGGCGGCGGGTTACGATGCGTGGCGCGTTGTATCTTTATTATTAATTATTTGTTGTTGTTGTTTATACTCTGTACCGTTTTATTTCCCATCGCTCGCGTCCGCGTCCGTGTGTGCGTTTGTGTGTGTGCGTGTGCCTATGCGTTTTGACCCCCACGCCCCTCTCCAGAAAAAAAAAAAAAACGCCTCACCACCCCCCCATCTGCCGAGAAATCGAACCCCCAAAAAGTAAAAATTACTAAAAAGGCAAAACTACGAGACGCGAGTGTGTGCAAGTTTGTTGAAGCCAAAATACATCAAATACAAAATACAAATTAAAGCCTTGCAACATGCGGCGGCTGATGAAGTTTGTTCGGTTTCAGATCAAAACAAAATCATAGGATATATCGCTATATATACAGTACCAGTCAATCAATCAATATCGTGTGCATTCAAATTCCACATCGTGCCTAAAACTGCAACTGCAATTGCGCGCGCCCTCTCTAAACAAAAAACGGAAACGGAAGTGCCAGTGACGTAATACTCCCTTAAAAAAACCCTGGAGAATCCCTCCCACAACCTCATCCTCCTCGATTGTGCAACACAAACAAAGCCAATTTCTGTGTATGTGTACGATCGATGTGCCCAAGTGTGTGTGTGTGTGCCGCAAGGATATCAAAATATTATTAACCAAATGAAAATTAACCAAAAATCCATCAGGAAAATCCCTCATCGCAACACGACGAAAGCAGACTTCGTCGCTCGCAAATTGGATAATTTATTGGAATAATCTATTTGCCTCTAATTGGATAGCTAGCCACCAGTTTTCGGATATATCACACGATCGGGGATTTAATGATTGGGAAACAGAAATTTATGACATCGTTTAGGCTTGCTTGTTTTTATATTTGTGTTTGTTCTGGCTATTCGGGGTTTATTAAGTACACGTGTCTAACACTTGAACAATTAAATGCAAAGCGATGAAATTTTATTGAATAGTTGCATTCCTTCTAGGATTTTGCTTTAGTGTTTGTCATCTACAATTTGAAAATATAAATATTTGTTATTTCATACGAAACTTGTTTAAAGTAATTTCTAAAACTTCAGTATTTACCCAACACATTAACCTATCTTTAATAAAACAACGATTCCCTTTGGAATTTTATTCTGAGATTTTTCCAACTAAGTAATAACGTTTCTTTGCCAGTTTAGGACTTCTCATGATAGCCATTTTTGTTTATTGTTCTTTTAAATTTGATTTCTTGAAGTCAAGTTTTGTGGATATCGGCTATAACATTTGGCTAGCTTATTTGGCGTCCCTCATATAGGTAATAGTTTCCCCCAATTAACAACCCCTTTTCTAGCAACTATTGCCAACTGTCAGTTGAAAGCTTTTCGCAATTTTTCATAGTGTTCCCAGTATCTGTTACTTGGTGCTTCTGGGTCCATTGTCTTTGCCGTTCTTCTCCATCCTCCGTGCAGATCTTAGGAGCCCGAATCTCAGGGCACAAAGCACGAGATGCTATGCCCTTTTCTTGTCCACAGATTCTGGCCCCTTTGTTGGCGCTGCAGTTTTGTGTCTGTGTCCATTGTGGCAACTTATGATTATCAACAATTGTTATTGTTGTCGTTAGAAGCAGTTAGAGGCGGCAGTACGAGTACTTGCACCGACTTTTCAGTTCAGGCGAGTTCAGAGCAGAGCAAAGTCGGTCGTCGCCAGCACCACCCACTCTGCGCCTCCTTTTCCGCCTGCTGCCACTGCTCCCCGGCCTTTTTAGTCGACTGTTTGCATTACCGTTAGTGGAACAACATTGCTAAGCACACACACACACACACACACACTGGCACACTCCATGTGTCGCCCCATAAGTGTGCCACCCCAGCAACAACAACAACTGGTGCTGCACAAAGAAAAATGTGTTGTTGGCTCTATTCCTGGGGATACATTTTAGCAGTTTAAGCACTTTTAACAAAGAAATCGCAAATGCATATGATATTTTAATAGCCAAATATCCTAGATTACTTAAATTTGTCTTAGTAAAATTGGAGTAATGATCTTAGCTTCATAGCTTCAAATAATATTTATAAATCGTATTTTTTTTGAACCACTGCTTTGGGATAAGTAAGAACTTAAATAATTTCAATGAAGATAATAAGTATTTGAAAACTTAAGTTGTTGATGTAGAAACAAAATTAAGACTCTAGACGATCTTTAAGTCTTAAATATTTTTTTGTAGCATTGCAGTCTGGTAAAAAGAAAGTTCTTAAAATGAAGCACATGAGATTAAGCGATCTTAAAGATAGGGTCTTGATAGCGGAATGGGATCTCAAGAGATTACCAAATTTAGGAGCATTTCGTATGGCTTTTCTGGCCGTGTAGAAGCGGAAAACAGCCTAAGCAGAAGTCCCAGGCGGAAAAGTGGGGGCTGCGGCAGAGCCCACCCATAGGTCATTGGTCTTTTTCGTCGGCGTCAACGTACTGCGACGGCAACAGCAACAGCAACAGCAGCAGCAACAACAACAGCACAGCAGCAACAGCCCAAGCAGCGCTGCAACTGCGTCGCCGGCAGCGCTGCCTTGTAAACTTTGTCGTCTGCTTTGCTGTCGCTCTGTTGCTGTTGTAACTGTAACCGCCTTCGGCTTCTGCCGCCTCCCTCCTGCTCCAACCCCCTTTCACCGCCTCTCTCCGCTCTCTCTGTCTTTCTCTTTCGCTCTGCTTCATCATCGGCTTGACCGGCTCGTTAGCTTTAGTACCGTTAGTAAGTTCGTTGTCGCTGCGAGAGAATTTTTCATTTCCACTGTGGGGCTATTCATTTTCATTTTCTTTTCAGCGTTTTCTTTGCGCTTTGTCTATATGTAAATTTCTCGCCCGCTCTTCGTCTCCGTCTCTCTCTTCTTGCCCTCTCTCTCAGTTTCTGAGCTGGCACAATTTCAGTGTTGTTGCTGTCGCTTTGGTGACGTATTTTATATGTCTGCCAGAGGCTTCCGCATGGCCACCCAAAAGCCACCCTCAAACCACCAACAAAGTGATTACACTCCCCCAAAACCCCCCTTTGGCCTCACCAACAAAAAAAAAAAGAGAGGGAAAAGTAAAAATGTTTTTATATTCATTGGGTTTGCCGGCTCGTTTGTCGCTCATTTTCTATGTGTGTGTGTGTGTTTGAGCTTTGGGTCATAGAACTTTTTTCTATGTTTACACACACACACACACACAAAGGAACACACCCACTATGCTTGGCGACGAGATTTATGCGCTGCATTTCAGAGTTTTTCCCCATTAGCCCCATAGCCACCCCCCACCCGAAAACCCCACCGTCTGTCTGGGCACCCTTAAATCCCATTTCTGTATCGATTTTCCATGTTCATGTCCATATAGTCATCAGTAGCCTAAGGGAGTTGCCAACCGAAAAAAGGGAGAGCTACGGGCTATACTCTATGGTTTGGGGTTCGGCACAGTTCCTGAATTGCGATGCCTGCACAGGGAAAATATGGGATCGCAGTGGACATGATGTTATACGATACTTTTTATCATTTACTAAATCTGTGGGATTAAACATGTCATTTGCCATTATTTTATATATATATTTATTTATTGGAATGTATTTCCTGAGTTCGATGAGGTTTTAGAATAAAAAGGGAATTTATTTATTTATTTATTTTATTTATAGGCAAGATTATGTCATGAGTATTCTGATAAGTAAATAAAAATATTACAACTATAAATTTTGATTTCTGATTAAAGTACAATTAAATTTAACTGTACAAGAGATATAATTAAATATGGTATAAATTACCTGAAAATAATGAAAATGTAACAAAGAGCTCCACACACACTCGGGCATCATTAGATCAAACGACGTTTGGTTATAGAGCTACCAAAGATCGTTTGATTTATGTATCGATTTCCCCACTTGCAGACATCATTCCCGTGCAATATGCTGAATGCCATGATTTGGCCATGGCTGACAGTGCGTAGCAAAAGTATTTACATAACTGGCCAAACCATTTTGTACATCAAAGTGTTCAAGCTAAGGGCCTAATTAAACCATATTGAAAAACAGATGAACGTTTCCAAGGCAGCGACAGTTCGAATCGATGAGAAACAGATTGCGCCTAAATGTCTTCCGGAATTAATTGTCGTGAAATTTTCGTATTTTTGGAAATTTTGATTTGGAATCAAGCAAAACAGAGAAATCGACAAAACAATGAGCATAGCAACAACAAAAGTAGCAGCAGCAGCAACAGCAACAACAAAGAAACCAGCAGCAGCAGCAGCAGCAACAGCACCAGCAACAACAACAACAGCAACAAGCAACACAATAAAAATCACAGCAACCGAAGAAGCAGCAGCAGCAACAACGCAGTGAAAGTGATAAAGCAGCAACAGCAGCAAAAACAACAACTGCCTAAAGCAACCAAAAACAAAAACTACAATAGCAATAACAATAGCAGCAACAGCAACAATCTGCACATACTGCAAAAGGGTTGAAGTTGGTCGTTCGATTTAAATAGATATTATCAAATCATAGAAAATTGCTTTAAATAAACGATAACGATAGATAACTAAACAAGTTTAATACATACGCGAACAAGTGTCTTATTAAAAAATAGTTTAATAAACGAAAAACCAATAATTAAGCGGCAGCAACAACATATAACATCAGATTCAACAACATCAACAATTTAGTACCTACAGGCCTGACAACGTTAGATCATTATATACATACATATAGATATATAGCAATATACAACAAACAAATATATATACATACATATATATCGATTGGCAAGCCCCCCCCTCACACCGCCCCCGCCCCCGTCTCACAAAACACCCACACACACTGTGATAATTCTTGATTCACACTGAATGCGAAAAGCGCTGAAAATTCATTCATAAAAGCATCCACGGACAAGCTTAACACAAGCCACAAAACATAAGTAAAGACCAAGTGCAATAAGACGATTGGCTAATACAATTGGAATCGAAGGGCAGCTATATAAAGTATATATATCTATATATTAAATACTGTATACAACGTTTTACATATTTACAAAAACCGCAAAAATAAAAACAAAAACTAAACTAAACTTAAGCGAAATTCGAATTCATTCAACTGCAAAAAGAGCAGCCAGATTGCGCATACGCCGCGTATGGCAGTCTGTGTGAGTGCCCGTGTTCATCAGCGGTTGCACCAACTGATACGAAGTGTACATAACTATAACTATAACTATTTCACCAATCAACTGCAGCGGCAACACCAACAACAACAGCAAACGTTACAAACGTCACCAAAGCTTCGCATTTCCCATTAATAATTATGTATACGCAACGTATGTTTGACATGTGGAGCAGCGTCACTTCGAAACTGGAAGCACACGCAAACAACCTCGGTCAAAGCAACGTCCAATCGCCAGCGGGACAAAACAACTCCAGCGGTTCCATCAAAGGTAAACCAAACTAATTTAAACTCTTTAATTACGTTGAAAATGTCCTGAGAGGAAAAATAGCAATATAAAATATAAAAATAGCAAAACAGAACACATATAAAAAATAATAAAATAAATAAAAAATGTAAACTTACAAAAATTGACCAGCAAAATATGTAAGCATTGACAAAATGGATCAACAATTTTACATGAGATTAAATGAAAATTAAAAACAATCAGTATATAAATATATATTGTCTGCGTATTTGTAAGAGTTTTATAGATAGGTCATGTCTTTACGGATAAAAGTAAAAGTTGTGCAATATGAAAAAAAGTTATTACTTACGCCACCGGCTTTATAGTGGATATAAAATAAGTGCTAGTTCCGCCTTCATAGAGATTATATAATGAACTTGCAGACTCTGATAAATTTATTCGAACTGATTTAAGTCCTTTGGGAAGTCTATGACTTTTATGGCTATTATTCATATATTCCAAAGGCAGCAAGTGAAGTAAGCGACAAGTGTGAACTTTCATCCCGCTAAAAGTAACAAGAGAATTGCACAAAACAGCAAAAGCAAAATAAAGTATAAATTTAATGAAATCCAGTTAAGTTGCTGGTTTTATGTGGCAGACTGGAGTCACTCAGTCAGTCAGTCAGTCAGTTGGTCCCGAAATGAGTTGCTGCTCTTTTTCGTATTTTTGTATTTTTGTATTTTCGTTGGCTGCTTGGCAGTGAAAGTCACTTGGGTTTCTCAACAACAGCAACAGAAATTATTTAAGGGAAATCCATGAAATTCGTAAATGAAGAAAGACAGCCAAATGAATATTACGAAACCCACTTGCGTGTGTTTGCGTTTGTATGCGAGGGGCCTGTTGCCTTTTTGCATTGACAATTCAACTAATTCGAAAAGGCAATCAGAGAACAGGAAAGAGACGGCTGCAGACCCTTTCTTCTTCGCTGCTGCCAAAGATACAAAGATACAAATTGTATATATAACTGAGCCGTCATAAAAAGCGTACAGCAGGAGATCATAATAAAATAAAATGAAAAAGAAACTTGCGAATTAAAATTCGCGCGCTAGTCATAAAAACCTACATATATATGTATATATGCGATATTGTAATGCCAACAAAGTTTCAACAAGCCATATAAATAAATTACTATGCGAGTATGAATTTCTAGTTTGTTGGTATTGGATAATTAGCTTATTTCATTGTATTTTACAGTCATTTTGCAGATTTGTATTTTTTGCTCTTCACAATTGACTTAATTGTGTTTTTTGGCACTTTTTATTCGGCGGAAAAAAGATAAAAGGTCTTGGAAATTAGAGATACACTCATGATACATATCTTTAAGTCTGATAAAGGGAATATCCGGGTTTGTGCAAGTAATATTCCTACTGTTACATGTTGTAAAAAAAATCTTATGAATATTTGCAAGATTTAAGGAATCTTTAACTATACTGAAAAAGGAACATTTTTTGAAATGCTGCTAAAAGCCATATTTTCATATACTTCTTCAATAAATGTATATTCTTAACTTTTGTAAGTTTAGTTTAAATTATATTCATTTACGAATTTCCTCAAGCTCATTCTTAGCTTTGACTTCATGAATTTATGATTCACTCCTTTTTAGGAATGAAAGCTTAGGAAATAAAGTTAAGAACTAATTTAATACGTTTTTAATTGGGGTGCTTTGACCCCTTAGCGGGTCAGCTGCGAATGCAATTAAGGTTTGGGTCGGGAACATGGAGGATATTATTTCTAACATAAATCTTAATCACTGGCAGCAATCTATACCCCTGTTTTCGAAGTTGCGTGTAAGTAATTAAGCGAACTGCATGGGGGTCGAAGGAGGGACTCTGTTTTTTTTTGACCGCTGGTCACTGTTACTTTTGGCATGCAATTTGCCTTTATGACTTCCGCGAAATCAACTTTTTTTTCATTATTGAAATTTTCACTTTTCGCTGCTGCTACTGCGTTTCGCTGTTGTTTTTTCGCCTTTCCTTTTGTGAAACAAATAGAAACGTAGGCAAAGTGAAAGAAAGAAATTTTGCGGCGCAAACAGTAAGCGTCCAAAAACGAAATTTAAAAAGCGAAAGAGTTGACAACGTTGGCCCTTGGAAGGAGAGGGAAGAGAGAAGTGGCAACAATAAAAAATATTCAAAAAAGCCATACCGAAAAAGTTTTGGTATAGTGAAATGCTGCTGTTGCCTTAGCTGATTGTGTAGTCCGCTCACAGACACATGCGTATCAAATAAAACAAAAAGAAATGTGTGGAAAAAAAAAGCGACCCATGCAGGCCCAAGCCCAAACCGGCCCCGCCCCCTTTCCCCCCAACGCCCCTGCGAGATAGTGCGAACGCCCGTTTAACACTCGAAACAAACGAAAAACCGAAAACTATGAAGCTACAAAATTTCTGACAACCTGAGAGAGTATGCGTGTGGGCAGAGGCGTAGAATGGAGCTGATCTATGGGGTTTTGGAAATCCAAAGATGTCTATGTACTAATAAAAGAAGTATAATTTGATACTTGTAGTTTAATTTAATACAAATATTTATTTAATTTTAAGTAAATGAATTAAATCAATAAAATTTGAATTGATGTGCCTAATATCAGAAACTAAAAAAATTTTTTTTAATAATTAATTATAATAATAATAATGATTATATAAATTTATTAATTTATTTGTTTTGTACACTATTTAATTTTTACACATTTTAGTTATTCAGAATACAGAACAGTGTTATTATTAGGATCATTATTAATATATTTTTGTAATTTTTCTGTTAATTAAAATATAAATCATACAGACCAAAAATTTCTATTGAGATATGTAAGTATAAAGTCAGGGGCTAACTCCCCAAAAGCCCCCTCAAAACGCCCCTTTGTATGAGTAGTGCTTTTTTCCTGTGTATCTGTGTGAGAAGCGCCAAAGCACACAGTCATACACTCACAATCATCATCGCCAGCGTCAACATAGTAAAAGTCTAAAATCGAGGAAAAAATTATTTTCGGCGGTCATTCAACTCGCACGCACGCACACTTACGCACTTTTTGATAGAGCAAATGGGGGAGAGAGTGGCAGAGCGGGAGAGTGGGAGAACGGGAGAGAGTGCGTGAGAGCGCCGCGTTCGTTGACTGTTATGCGGGAGCGTGCGTCGACGTCGACTGCGACGACGGCAGCGCTGCCCACGCCACGCACATTACAACATCAAACACCAAAAAAAAACCAAAAAAAAATAAAAACACAACAAACAATGGGCCTTACTTTCTATGGCTTTTTCCACTTCTCCCCCATTTCTATTTCTCTTTTCGTACAAACTAAAATTATTATTTATGCAGTCAAAGTTTTGGAGCCATAAATACAAGCCAGAGAGAGAGAGGAAGAGAGAAATTCTGTTGCCCACTTCTTTGTTTGACAATTATTGCGTGAATTTCCACGATTACGGCTTCTATCGCTCATGTAAATGCCGTTTTAATTGCCCGGCGTAGAAAAGTCGCCGAACTTTTGACTTCCTTTCTGGGAGGCCGTTAACTTCTTCGATTAAGCACAGATGATTAAAGCTTAAAAATAGGTTTTAACAGCTCGAAGATTAAGTAATGATAAGTTATTAAAAAACTTTAGGGAACTTAGTTAAAAATCTCTTTAAACTAGGTAACAAATAAGGTGTACCTATAATTCAAACAAAGAAATACAAGTAAAGAAATAGGTATTTTTTGGTTACAACGATCGGTAGCAAAGTGCTTAAAGTGTATTGTAAATAAGAATACAAATATATGTAAATATAAAGTTCAAGCTCGATAAAAAAAGGAAAAATAGCCCCCTTGGCCACCTAATCACTGTAAAAATATTTAAAAGTGAACTGAAACAAGAAAATAGTGGTTGGAATACTATCTAAGGCATAGTATATGATGGCATTTCCATGCAATAATATTTCCATATATAAGACATATGATTACATTTCTCGGTTTTGTTATTATAGCTAAACCTATTAAGATGCCATTTAAATTGCCAAATAAACTGAAACAATTAACTGTATTTTATGAGCTTTAATTAA